ATGAGTTATTTTGAAATAACTTCTTTTATCACTATGCTTTTGCTAATTACCACACGCCAAATACCAGATTTGCATGGTTATACTAAACGAGATACTTTAATTCAATTACTACTGAATTAATACTAAAATATCAAATAATCAATTAACGGTGTCTTTTGGTTGCAAATATTGATATCACCATTACTATTATCTATAATACTTTATCAATTATGATTAATTACATAACAAGTTTGCAAGTCATACAAAATGATTTAAAATTTTGACTAGTTTTTTTCAAAAAAATAAAGTATATATATACGAGGTAGAAATAAATTGGTTAAAAGGTTGAGAAAATATTTTAAATTAGTGTAATAAAATGTGTAAGTTGGTAAGGAGTAATGTGTTAAGTTACTTGATGCGCTGGCCCGAACAACCCGAAACCCAACCCGCCCGCAACCCGCCCGACCCAAAACCCGATGAACCCGCAACCCAATTTGCCCGCAACCCGATTGAACCCGCAACCCAATTTGCCCGCAACCCGATTGAACCCGAACCCGATGAACCCGCAACCCGACTAACCCGCAACCCGTTTGAACCCGAACCCGATTGAACCCAGCCCGAACCCGCCCGATTGACACCTATATTTCTACAGTCAGGATACCTCTAACTTGATAGCTATCTCTATCGAGAATTAACACGTACTAACTAATTAAGACAATTTCTACTAGCATAGTTAACTGAATTAATTAATTAGCCATAAGATCGATATCCCTTATATTAGTTAACTTGATAGCTATCTCTATCGAGAATTAACACGTACTGCATACTTCCCTATTTAATCCACTATCGCTTTGATAGACAATTATGTCGAGTGAAATATGTTCGGTTATTAGATTTCACTATCGTTATTAACCTAGAAAACTACAATTCATTGTGAAGGTGGCCAATTAACACAAAGCGTAAACAATTTCACACGATAGAAAATGGAGGAAAACAAGTCGCGATTAAATATCGAGACTAGATAATGAAATCCATAAGTATCCCCCGAAAATTGGGGGATTAGATCATGATATAAAAGAAAGAACATCAACATGATAATGTTCAACATCATAATTAATTACCTAAACAAATGATTAGAGAAAGTACTAAGTGTTGAAGTTAATCCTCAACTTACAAGAGTCTTCCTTTCTTCAAAATGCTCAACTCCAAAGTATGCCAAAGTGAGCTCTCTCATTTGATTTTTCTGTCTAAAACTTGTCTCCAAAAGTGTCCCTCAAGCCTTCTAGTTGCTGCCCCCTTTTAAGTTCATTTTCTACATATTTTTATCCCACAAAACAAGGCATTTGCAGATCCCATTTCCAAGAGAAGGTTGCTACCAGCTAAAGTCTCTCTCCTTGCGTTTATTTTTCTACATCTTTTTATCTATTGGTGAGCCACCAAATCCACTTGCTCACTTCAAGAAAGTTGATCCAATTCCAATGATTTGTGAGGGCTGCTGACTGTTGAGTGAAGATTCCAACTCATAATGGTTCGATTTGGGTCTTTATCGGTTTGGCCTCCTGTTGGACGTTTGACCCTGCACGTCTGCACTTTGCCACTGCACCTGCATTCGTCCACTGCACTTTGTTTTGTTCACAATCTTAGCTTCAATCTATGTTAAATTGCTACATGTCTTGGTAGTGACACTAATGTCATTCCATGGTCGATATGAACTAATTTAGAGAAATTTAAACACATACATACATACATACATACATAAAGATCAATCATTTATGCACAAAATACATGTATGTTTATGAAGTTTATCACAACCCCACACTTAGCATTTGCTTGTCCCTAAGCAAAAGAGAGAAATAATTGAAAGAGAAGCAAATAAACATACAACTAAGACTCCTAAGACTCCTAAGACTCAAATAAAAGACACACTACTCCTAAGACTCGACTAATAACATTGTTGCTTGAATGACGGTGTGACTAGTTGTGGCTCGAGTTGCACTAATTGTCTCTATCGTTTATGCTTGCATACATACAACACACGTCATTCGTGGTTTTGATCAAGATTATCGAAACACAAAGCGATGGAAAACGTCACACAAATTGAAATTGACGTTGAAGGTTCAAACTCACGGCTACCAGATGCCATACCCTGCTCGATACAAATTATACTCAATTTCGCTTGAGTTCAGGCACAACTCAAATCTAGTGGGTGAATTTTAATTGAAAGTACGTCATATGAAACATGCAATCCTACTTGCAAACACAAGTTATGCATTTCAAGGTTAACTCGGGACAACCGAAAGGAAGATTCATACACCGAAGCATAATAAGTTCACAAACCATTGACACAATCATTTCAAGCTACGACATTATATCCTATCAAGTTCAAGACACAAAACATCAAACAAAGTGAGAACGACTCACATTCACCAAACATTATATACAATACATACTCTTAAACTAAACTAAGACTCTCCACCCCACACTTAGGAAGGAACATTGTCCCTAATGTTCTGAACCTAGATTCTAAACATGCTAACACAAAATGAAAAAGCAATCAAAGGGAAAGATGAAAAACCTCACGCCAAATGCTAGGCGGATGAGGTAGAAGGTGGTGGAAGGTCGCTCAGGCAATCAATTCCACTCTTCTTGAGGTGCTCGGCCATTTTCTGAATAAATAGGTGTTGGGTGTTGATTTGGTGTTGTTGTTGCTGGTACTTATGATCTTGCAGCTCCAATTGTTGTTGTAGGTGAGCAATGATGTCCGTTGGGTGAGTGTCTTGTGTTGGAGTGCCCGTGGAGCGATTTGGATAAGCTAGGGGAGTTCTTGAAGATGTTGCTGAGGTGCTGGCAGCTACTGCCAAGGTTTCTATTGGACAAACAGCAACCAATTCATCTTCTTGCGTTGTATCCTTGGTCGTGGTTTACTCTGCCTTAGCTTTTGCTTGATCTTCCTTGATTTAGTTGAACTCGGGTATCGATACGTACCTTCCTCTTGATCTGATTCTTCTTATGTAGTTCATACTTGAGAGAGTTCTTTCTTTGATTACTATGATTCCCTTGCATTTGTCGATGCCATTTGGATTCTTGGGAAATCCACAACAAGCTTGGGCTATAGCAGTAATGTTTCCTCCAAATCTGATGTTTCCCTTTGATCCTTTTGAAGCTTGCTCACCAAGAAGAGGAGGTCGGTATTGTGTATACCTGGGTTGTCGGAACCACGGCCCAAGGCTGCTCGACATAGGTACTCATGTATCAGCACCAACGCAGGACCTGATGCTCTAAAACACAACACCTAACAATAGCCAAGTGTAACCAATGAAAGGGACTGCAGTATAGTGGCACAAGTAATAAATATCGAATCCACGGGTCTCTAGAGTTACTATTACTCAGCTTCAGTTCATTATCTAGCAAACTAGATTAAGGATTGATTAACTAAACTACTCTACTAACTAAACTAAGTAAAACTACTAATTACAGTTTGGGAACTCACTTAGGTATGATTCCCCCTAGCTCCTCAATTAGGTCCAAGTTTTTTTTTTTGATACTTAGATCAAATTTTCATTAAGAACAGGCAACCAATAGCAAAAACTATGGCGCTCCTCAGAACAACAATCTGTACAAGTCAGCAAAGCAAATAAATCTACCCCAAGCCTCTAGCAATGAAACACTCTACCAAGCTCTGATCGAGCATACAACGATACTCAATTGCCCACTTAGCCTGCAAAATTATCTTTCTTGGAGAACAAGCACCCTGCAGTCCATACATCCTAGAACACCTCTCCCTCCATACCAAACTCAACACAACACTCCATGACAGCCTGTTTAGACGCACAGAAGCAGACTTTCCCTTCCATCTGGTAATACACCATTGCAATACTTGAGGCCAATCCACAAGGGAAGGTGGAACAGCACTCCTGAGAATTAGGTCCAAGTTGTAATTCCTTTTGGTTGATTTACTGTTGATTAAACTGCGGAAGATCCGACAGTAGCTTGGAATCTCTTAAGCTGACCAAGCCCTCTCAGTCTAACTATCCGGCAGACGACTAGTCTTCACCGGGATAGAAAGCTGAAGCAATAAGCACAGAACTCCACTACTGGAATTGGATTCCAGTACAAAGTAGTAAACTGGCTAACTCTCGTATAGCCAATCTCCTACTACCGAATGATGAGACTCTAGCAACCTAATCAGATTCTATCTATCTCAGATTGCAGCAGGAATCAGGATGAAATGAAGCCGAATTCGTCATTCAACCAATCATCCGAGTCATCCTCTTAAACCTTCTTCCTTCTATAGAGTGAACTGAACTTCACATCTTCATTATGCAATCTTGCACTCTGCTTCACGATCGAACAAGTTATTTTAACAACCTTAATCGCCCCCTTCTTCTTCCCTCCTCATATTGAGCTCGGACATGACACTATTGATATGTGTTGCTTAGTTTTTACTCATTGTAGTGGAAGAGTTTGGATAGGTTTTTAGGCCTTCACGAAATAAGTTTAAGGTAAGGGCTCAAAGAAGTTGGTGGTGGTGATGGAAGTGAAGTGGTGGTAGGAGGGGCATTAGGTTGGATATGTTGATAATAGATATGAATAATCGGATGCTTATATGGACACATTGAAAAAAATAGGTAAGGAGTCAAGGCGGGGTTTGGTTTATTAAGCTTCATTTTCTTGGAGGATGAAGCATTGTTGTTTGCAAGATTTTGATCATTCATGTTTGAGGATTTATGTGTAAACTCTGATTAGTGAGGACCAACCATTTCAATCTTTAGTAATAACACCCATTTTAGTCAATGATTTCAATCTAGTACGATTATAACATGTTCCACAATCCAAATCGTGTTAGAAGTAGAACATACTAATGCGAACAGGCTAGAGAGTGTATGTAAATCCTATGTATCCGCCAAAGGTAGTGAATTCAAGGTTGGGCTAAATCGACGGGCCCAAGCCCGTATCATGGACCAACTCGGGGTTTTCATTACAGCAGGCCGTCGTTTAAAAATAATCAATCTTCCCGATCACCCCGTCCCTCTTTTCCCCTTCCGTTGGTTTCTCCCTTCTTTTCATGAAAGTGACAACGCAATAAGCTCCGGTTCTGAGAAGAGAAGAGAAGTGGAGAGGAAGAGAAGCATTCTGAGGGTGTCGACCGAAGAAGGGGCGGGACAGAACTAAGGGCAGCGGCGGAGCGGATTCCGGTGACCGGACGACTCTAACAATGTCGAAGAAGAAGGTTTGCTCGACGATGTCCTTGAAGGACTTCCACGGCGGCGCAATTCCTTCTGATCTTCCTTTGCCCTCTGCTCCCGGAGTGTAAGTTCCCCCTCACTCCGCCTCCACTTCGCTCGTATATTTGGACTGTGAAGGTTTCTTCTGAATTAGCTTCGGCGGCTCGATGAGTGGATCGGATGGAGGAAATTTAGTTATCCTTCGATTAGGTTTCAGTTTTTGCCCTTACAAATTGCTTCGCTGTATTCGTTGCTCGAGTCGTGATTCTCATATCGGCTTACCGATTAGTTTTTGTTAATGTAAATTAGTGTAGATCTTATGGCCAACCGGTGGATTTCTATTTGTGATAATCAGCGTTCGTTGAGCTGATTTTTTTTTTGACCTCTTGCAGTGTTGCGATACCTGGTTCTGACCGTAGCGCATCTGCAAACTGGGGAAACAATCTGATGCGGACAGATCTCCGACCGCGGCCCAAGTCTTCAGGTGCATCTCGTGGCTTTGATGAGAAAGGATCACTTCTTTCTCACCCATCTCCACCTATTGGCCGAAACTTTGATGAGGATGAGCGCAAACCACTAGACGGTTTATCTGCTCCACGTCGAACCATTAGTGATGAAAGCATTCAGAGGTCTGCTGCTGTGGTGCATCAGGAAGTGAAGCTGGATTACCCTTCTTCAGTCAGTGTACACGATAGACCGCTGTCAAGTCCAGGCATCCAGTCTCCCAGTCTAGGAACTGGATTAAGGTCTGTGGCTGGTTTTGCTGGTATTGATCAGGCTGTTAATAGTTCCAAAGCTTCAGGTGCTTACAATGGTCAAGGAGTGAATAACAACCCCCCTAATGCATGGGGAGTGAAGAAGGAAGTTAGTGAGTACGTCGCTCCATCACCATTGGGGACAAGTCCTATATCCAAGCTAGCTCAGGCAAGTGCTATTGACAAAGTGTCCTCAGGGATGTGGCAGTCAAAGAACCCTACCAACCTCTTACCTCACTTGCTTTATGCTAAGGACAACGTCATCACACAGGGTGGGGGTGGGAGGGGTGCCTATGATCCTACCCGTGGTATTCAAACTGAAAATGATCTACTTACTGAAGATAGAAACCGGGGGTTTGGAAGGGAATATCCTAGTTATGGAAGAGATCAGACTCCTAGGCCAAGAGAAGATGGATATCAGCTGCCGCAGACTGTTCTTCCAGTAAGCTCGGATCAAGTTAAACCAAAGCCTTATCAAAGGTCTACATCGTTGGAAACTTCCGAAGTAGAGTATAGACAGGTGTGACTTAATTTTTGTTTTTTTGGTTGAGTTTTAGAAGCTTGCTATAATTTCTCTGAACTCGAGATTTTGGTTAATTAGGGGTTCCAGCATGCTACTCAGCCTGGTCAGGCTGAAATTATTCACGGCTTGCATGGAGAAGCAAGTTCACCAAAACAAGGGCCAATAGGTGGCAAGACAAATACCAGGCCAGCTGAGAAACCAGTTGAGCGTCCAAAGCTGAACTTGAAGCCCCGCTCCCAGCCTCGTGAACAATCTGAAGGGAATGCAGTGAGAGAACGGTATCACTTTTGCCCCAAGTTTAGCTCAATTATGGATGCGATACTACAAAGTTTCGTTCATAATAGTTTTTGAGGAACATGTGATAGTTTTTATTTGTCAGTGCTGAGTGCCAGTAATTGATTGACTGGTTTCTATTTGTCACGTGGAATGCTTAGTTGTCACCAACTCTATCGTTGAGAAGTTAAGTTTAGGGGGTTCAATTATCTTCTTGAGGAAATTGATATAATTTTTATTTGATCAATAAGCGTCAATCAGTTTTGTGAAGTTAATTTTAGGGGATTCAGTTATCTTCTTGCTGTAACTCAAAATTCTTTGGCCTGGCATAGTATTGACTTCTATTCAGTTTGCTAGATTTCAATCCTGTTGTGAATTCCAAAACTTGCTTTGAACACATACATGTTCAGAGCATGCATTTTTGCAGTTCTCTTCCACCATTCTTTGTGCTTAGTTACACTTGCCATTTTCACTGTTCTGGATCCTCTGCTTATTTCCTCTGCGTAGTTGGGCTATTTGTTGACTGATAAACTTTGTGCACTGCACTATGCATTCTGATCTCCTTTGCCTTCCGTATAGAAAGCTCTTGCTGTTTTGCATTAAGAAAATGATGGCTAGCTCAAAAATGGCTGAATAATTGTCTGGCTTAATGGATATTTTGAATTAGGTTCATACATTCTACTGGGAGCATTCATATTTGATCTATGCTTAGCCATTGATTAGTTTTCTGGAGATAAAAATAGACTATGGTGTTATATAACAGAATTTGACAGAACAGTCTCCTATCTGTGGTTAGACTAACTAAAGAAGTGTTCGTTGGTTTGGAGCACCACGACTCAGTTAGAATAAGATGGATAGTGGAAAACTTTCCACCATCGTTGGTTGTTCATTTTTGTGCCTATGATGAGGATGTCACTGAATCTTCTTGTCATGTTCCTGTTGACATTTAAAAATGCTGATGATTTACTCTGATTCAATTTTGAAGAACTAAAGTAAATCTTGCTTCCCATTTCTTGCCTGTAATCCTGTTTAATGTTCTTCTGGCTTCTCAACACCCTGGGCTTCTTTTGCACGTGGCTTCTAGTACCAGTGTTGTTCCTTTCTGCTTACTGCTCATCTTTTAGTACAGTGTAACTTCTAATGTGATTTCATTTCCTTGTTTTGATCCAGGAATTCGTTGTTTGGTGGTGCTCGGCCTCGTGAGTTGGTATGTGGTCACTTTGATAACTCGCATGTGAATTGCTTCTTCTACTTTAATGCCTTTGAACTATTATTTATTCAGTTTGCGTCTTCTCACTGTTTCAATCATTATTGAGGTAGCATTTAATCCAGCATTATCGCACTTTTTTCCATATTGTCCTGCTTCAGGTTCTCAAGGAAAGGGGCGTAGATGACATTGAAATCAACAAGATTGACCACCCCAGTCCTTCACCTAAGAGGTACTTGATACGTAATTAAACTTTTGAACATGCCAATTATTCATCAATCTATCTATTTCTTGGCTGTTGTGCATATATTATTATGATAATAATGATCTGGAGGTTTCGTTCATGAAGGGTTAATTCTCTTAAGATTGAAGTTAAGTCGGAGCACTCGGGTCCTGCTGCTCGACAGGGTCCCACGAAGAGTGAGGTTCGCACTCCAACCAACAGGGGCAGGACTGGAGGAAGGGAGTTTGAAAGGAAGGATCATCAAAAGGCAGACCACAACGAGAAGCCGGAACAAGAAAGGAAGAGCTGGCGGAACGACAAGTGGAAGGGCAGCAACAAAGAGGTGGTTGTTAACCATAATAATAAAGAACAGCAACGCCCCGAACCTGAAACATGGCGCAAGCCGATCGAAGAACGAAATTCCAGCACCTCATCAGAAGGCGCCGGTCATGGCAAGTTGGTCTCGGCTTTAGAGCTCGCACAAGCTTTCTCCAAGTCAGTCTCGGTCTCGAAGAACAACAGCGAACCACCGCGTTCACCACATCGAGGAGGACCGGTCAGGCAGAACAACGACAAGAACGGTAGTCAGGTACTTTTTTCTCGATTGACAGAGACTCGTAGTGAACTCTACCCTGCACCATCCACGGCTAGGCACCGGGTGAATGGTTACTAGACATGAGTGCTTGAGATCATATTGTTGTGTGGAAGCGGGGGGGTTGGGGGGATTTAATTTTAGTTATTTTTTCTTTCTCGTCGTCATGGTTGGTTGCTATGCTGTCATATTCTTATGTGGCTCGAGAGCAGCAGAAGGCATCAATCATTCTCAGGAAGCAGAAGTTCAGAGAGGCTGTAATGTAATAGTGGGTTCTCTCTCTCGACTCCATTTGATTGTTGAAGAGCGATTTCAGTCTCTCAGTAATCTCGATTATCAGCATGATTGAACTGTTGCATGGCCATTGCAGTTAGAGTTTACTTCCTCTATTCTTGTATTTTGCTACCTGCACAGCTTGAGCAGGTAGAAGCTTTTCGCTTTTCCTTAACGTTGTTGGTCCCCCCGGTAGTAAATATGTTGGAACTCTCAATGGTTTTTCATGTCTCGGGGTGCATAACTCTATAGTCAATAATCATGCACAATCTAATAAAAATTCGTCACATTAGCACCCACTCTCTCCTCAAAAGCTTTTAGTATATTACTTTTTAATTTTTAATGGACGATTTTTTTTGTTTTAAATTGAAATTTAATTTTTTTACACAGATACTTGTGTTTTTCAAAATGATATCGACTTTGATATATTTTTAAACAAAAAAAAAATTGCGATATTTTTTACCAGTCTATAATGATGGTATTGATTGGTATTAAAATAATAGGCAGAGTACCATGATGGTATGAACAACGTACCATGGTGGTATGAACATACCAAGATTGTAGGATGGTTGAATACATTATAATAGGAGTATACTAACCGTCATTTATAACTTTCAACATTGTGTACCACAAGATACCACCCCTCGTACCAATGTGGTTTTGTATGATATTTTTTGGTCTTGTATTTTGTTCACCTAGAAATTTGTATATCATATAGGTATGGAGTTGGTCACGAAAGATATGTAATTTTTTTTTCTAAAAAAATAATGAAAATGAATCTCATTTTGTAGAGCACATCAGCACAACAAACTTGTTCCATCTGTGCAAAAAATAAAAAAATGAAATCCAAGTTAGAACGAAGAAATTATGATCCGATTAAAAAAGTAGGAGAAATAAAATGCTTTTAATTCTCAATCTTTAGATCTGCAGCCCACTTAAAAATAAAATCTAGATTTGATTACTCATGTTAAGCACCATAAGATTACTCACCCTATATTGAGCCCTCGAAAAGTCTCCGACAATATGACTGGAACTAAATACAAATGACCATTTTTTTAATATATAAAAGATCAAAGGTACTAATTTGTAAATAACATCAAGGGCATTATTGATGGAGGACACATGGTCAATTGTGCAGTTTGGATTTCACTCAAGATGGGTTGGTATAAAATATGAAATAATAAAATAAATTTGATTAATTATTAAAATAATCCACAACATGTTTTCACGGTTTATTGACTGATTCTCCTTTGAGGATAGAGAATTCAACAGTATGTTATGAATTCGTAAACTTAGAATAAATGATTAAATATACAGATATATGTAAAATCTAGGGTTAATTACACTACATACATGGTTAATGTGCGACATAAAACATTCTACAATATGATGGTGGACAAGTAAAACTAATGAACATGAGGTGTTTGGATTCAAGTATTATGATTTGCTTATAAGTATTGTTAGTTTTGTGTTCTAATCGTGAGCGAAGATGGGTCCCGTCTTTCACCAAGCTGGCTCCGCAAATGCACATGATAAGAAGAAAGAATTAACTCATGAGTTTTTTTTTCAAAAAAATTCTCTACTCTATTATTTTCCAATTCTCTTTTTTCTTTTGGATGATTCTCGTCTCCATACATGAGTTATTATTCATAATATTTTGTTTTATTCAACCAAACATTAGGGTCATTTTCGAAAAAAAAAAGTTAACGGTCAAGTTTTCTATTGTTTTTATCGAATTCTGTCTTGAAATCAACATTTTTTTTTGCGTATTTTGTTTTACATTCTTGATCATCTCTCTCTCGTTCTAACTCAAATAGGAAGAAAACGGAGAAATCTCACTTCTCATTGAAAGGATGGAAGGGGCTTCGGAATTGACTGAACAAGTTACTACGTTCTTCCATTTTTCTCTTTGTTTTTTTTAATTAATTGACATTTCCTATGAATTTTTCGACGGTTCAACTAAATGCCGACCTGTCACGCGTATTCATATCATGCGTATATCAGTGATTCGTTTTCCATTTTCAGAGACTATTCAATTGGAGGTCGGCTAGTTATGCGTATTTCATTCACGTGTATTTTGATTATCAATTTTCATATTTGAATCCTTATTGATTGACAATGTTTATGAATTTTCCAACTATCCAAATAAATATTTTATATTTTCATAGATTCATATTTTAGAATATAAAGTCTAATAGGCCATCGAGTCCAATTTACTTTTATATGCTTATATCCAACAAGTGTAGTATCTTAATGGGAGTTTTACTCACTAGCTTCGAGTCTTCAACCTAGTGTTATATGTGGTTGGACACACACTTCCTTGAACCGATCTTAGACTATATCTTTTCATTTACCAATTCACACAATTGAAAGATGTATTGTGTGTGTTTTTATTTAGTGTATTATTTCGTATTTACAATAATAAAGATATTTTAAGTATCTTTGTTGTATAAAAAAATATCTTAATAAAATAGGAATTGAAGATGCCGGACGGAGCACAAACTTTCAAAAATAGGAATTGACAGGTCCGGCCCAGGCCTTGTGCTGGTCTGACCCACAACACATGGCCTCATGAATTTTGGGGCCTCATAAGCCAAGCCCATAGAATTATATATATGTATGAAAAGAAATGGAAATTGGAAAAGAGAGACCGAAGGGTTTTTCTGGGCCTGGGGTCATGAAAAATTGGGCCGAATGACCACTTGAAAATCGGTTGGGCCTATTTTAATTTCTAATATTTTTTTTTCATTTGGTTGGGCCTGTTTTAGTTTCAAACCATTTTGTTTTTTTAGAGAACTTTTGATTGGTAAGCATTTTTAAATTTGAAAACTAGAAAATAAGAATAAGGTAGATTTAAGCGTAAGAAAAAGTGGATTCTAATCATTTTGTGACTAATGTATTTTTTATTATTATTTAATAAATTTGTGGAGAAAATTGTTTGAGCCATATTTTTAATTTTCGAACAGGGCCTCCAAATATCATGGGCCGACCCTGGGAATTGAAGACGCCAGGCGGAGCACAAACTTTCAAACTAGTGATATTAAATTTTTAATATGGATCATATTGTACGAGGATGACTACTTCTGTGTAATTCGAGCAATGCGGCTTGATGTTAATCAATATCATTGAGAATGCAAAAAACTCAAAAGAAGTACCAGAGGCGAAAATACACCTATGATTAGCAAGTTTCCATATATAAACGACACAACTAAACGTCGGCCTAGTTTTACTATAAGAGAGTTGCTAATTGTCGCCCTAAGTTTTGATAATCGTTCTAATTAAAATTACCTATTTACCCTTATTAGGAGATAGTCTATGCAACACAATTGCAAAAAAAAAAAAAATGACTATTGAGATTAGGTGTCGCCGGCGCCTGATTCCAACCGCTCGCCGCCAACATCCTGTCTCGCCACCATAGTTGGGGTGTAACCACCCACCCGAAGAGTTGCCTCTCTTCGTATGCACTCCTTTCTTATCTATAAATAGCACCAAACCCCTCTTGTTTTACTTATGACGAAAAAAAAAAAGATTTTTCCTGCTGGAGCTCTACCAAAATCAAAATTGGTTATTTTCTGCATTCTTCCAATAGAAAATCAAGTAAAGTGTAGCTCTCGCCGATTTGCGGCGTTCGTTGGTTTCCAAGATTTGAGGTACCGATATGCCGGAACAAATACGTTCTTTCTATTCTGGGGGAAGTCATTCTATAACCTTGGGTACTAAAGCCTAATAAGATTTCTTAAAGAGAGAAAGTGTATTTTGTCGGCTAGGACGATTGCATGTGTTTGCAAGTTTCACGATATTATATGTGACTTATGTTGCAAGATATAGAATAGGTGAACAATTTCCATAACAATCTTAAGGAATCTTATTAGAAAAAAATGGAGTGTTGCATTCTTCTGTCATGATAGCTAGGGATGGCAATGGTTCGGGTTGGGTCGGGTTCTGCCGAATCCAAACCCAACCCAGCAGGTATATCCACACAAAAAAATCCTGGGAAAAATCCAATGGGTTCTAGAACCTCAAAGTTTTTATTTCACGAGCTAGAAGTGTTATATGATAAATCTCCTTATAGATAAAGAAAACATAACACTATTGATCGATTAATTTCTAGCGAAGTTATCTAAGTTGCTCTTTCTAGATCAAATGATAACAAAAATGAGGCCCACCTAGAGATTAATGAAAGCATCAAAGGGAATGGACTCGTGGCCTAGGACAAATCAGCATGGTGGTAACTCTATCTAAGTAGGATTGGCAGACCCAATCTCTAGGTTCAAGAAGGAAACAAAGTTGTGAATGATGGTACGACATTGTCAATTTATTGAAAGTTCTTTCTCATGCTGAGACAATTTCCAACAATAAGTATAAACCTAAAGATGAAAGGTTTTTATGAGTTTCTAGCTTTGACACATGGTGTGATCAAATAGTGTATTATCGGAATATACGTTTAGAAATCACTTACATGAAGTAGAGTCACATCAAGGAGAATAAAAGATGGCCAGTTCTCTAAGCAATCATGAGACCAAGCGGTGTTCATGGCTAAACCGAACACAACATTGAGAAACCCGTAAAGAGATAAGAGTTAGTTGTTTGACATATGTTATTTTGGTATACAAGCAAAATCGAAATAGGAAGAGGAGTAAGCAAAAAAGAAAGACGACCTAAAGTAACGAATACCGAGATACACACTGTGATTGATGTTTTGATCACCCATTTTTGAAAAACCTATTAATTAATAAAGTACCTCATATTTTCCCCTCTGCCTTGGGTTGTCTCGCGATACCTTCTACAACTTCTCCCGCAATAATGCCTTAACCAACCCCGGGTCCAATAGAAGCAAGCCCAAAAGCCAAACTAGCCTCCTAATATAAGAACTAATCCTAAAGAGACTAAAAGAAAGTAATGTATTTTCCCAAAGGCAAGGAACTTGCTTGCTGCTACCAAGCCTCTGCTAAGGAAGAAATTAAAAAAATGAAAAATTCTATGGAACAATTGGTCATATTTTATTTTTTTATGTTTATGAGTTGAGTCTATTTTTATGTTATTTCGTACTGTACAATTGCTTTCTAGAATTTTGTGGGAAGTTGTATATACAACTTAGAGGCTCCTCCTCTATTCCTTGCGGTAATGATTCCTCTGGCATTACAGCCTTTACCACGACGATGTTGTCCATATATCAAATTATTTAGTGTATTTCGTGACCGTCTTCAATAGCTGCAGATTATGGTTCACTTCCTCACTATTGACGCAAGTCTTCTGTGGAGGAATGAAGCCAGGGAGTAATCCATTGCTGACTTCACCACAACCGATTAGGTGAAACATACATAAATAAGGAGTTGTGCAGCAACTACAAAGTGAGAGTTTGATAAAATTAAATGCTTCTTTACCGAGCGGAGGACTCGCTTTATTTTTGGTAGATTGATCTAAACAACTAATCAAGAAATTGCGTTTGTAAGATCAAGCTACTATTCAAAGATATAACATCTATTGATTGGTGAGTATACTCGATATATGTTCACTAAGGAAGGTTCAAAGGGAAACTAATACGACTCATTAATAAAATTTTGTTAGAAGAGCAAGAAGAGTGGCTCCAATCAAGGATCAAGATTCTATAAAGATTCGAGGTCGAATCTTCTTCAAGAGAGAGAGAATGATGTGATATCGACTAGCGCAATATTTAATTCTCGTAGTTCAAAAATGAAGATTCGAATTTATCGATATAAGAATCAATTGGGAGCATTCATGATGGATAAAATATTGATTATCTCTGCTGCCAACATAAGTTTGCGCATGGGAGGATTACTTGTTGAGATGAGTTGGTGGAGCTTGTTGACTGACTTAACCGGGCCACAAGCCCATCCAGCCCACTTCAGCTAACTTCAACCCATACCAACCAGCCCACTTCAGTAAACTTCAGCCCAAGTATGCCTGGAGTCTACAATCTTCTAGCTATCTCGTCCTTCGCCTTGATGCTGCTGTCTTTCCAGTTCCAAAAGAAAAACACCAAAAGCAGAGAAAGAAAAGTAAAGCTGCCGCGCACCTTCCTCTCGAATTTCAATTCTTAATTGTGAGCTTCTCAACAAGGCAACGGTCATCAAGCTAATACACCTTCTCAACGGTCATGTTTCTGGAGTCTATTTATAGAGCATCCGTTCCGCCATCAACACTTGACGGTTCGACAATGGAAAAGAGGGATTCTTTTGGGTTGTTGATGAGTCCAGGTTTGCTTGTTTACTCTGTAGATTACAAGAGCAATGGCTGGGTAATCTAAGAGTGTTGAGTTTTTCTAGTTTCCTACAATAGCTTGGGTTACAGTGATTAGGATCTGGATAGTCGGGTGGGTTATAGTGATCGATATCTGGGTAACCAAGTATTGTGAGGGTTCTAGAGTCCTTTTTATGTTCTTCATCTTCATCTTCATCTTCATCTTCATCTTCTCTTTCTTGTTAAAAGCATATTGATTCTGCAGAATGACGTACTTCATTCCAAATCCGTAATAAAATTTTATATATCTTTTCATCTTTGTTCTTTCGATTCGAAAGTCTTTAAAAAATGATGCAATATCGACTAGAGGGATATTCAATTCTCGTAGTCCCAAAATGAAGATTCAAATTCAACGATAGAAGGATCAATTAGGAGTATTCTTGATGGATCACATTATTCTCGTAGCTACTATGGCATTGCATGGAATTAAAATGGCGTGATCAATATGGCATGAAAATTGATGGACGAATTAGTGGTAGTCAATTTAGTTGGTTGGTGGATTAATTCTAAGAAACCCAACAATTAAAAGATTAATCCACGTGAAAGACAAAGTTAGCATGGATGTTTATGTCCATGAATTAATTTTAGGGCATGAATTATGAAACCGTACCGGACATCAAATTCGAATCGTCTTTGACATGGTAAAAGGTGGTACAACCATGGTTCAACCGTTTCCCACCGGTAAATATCGTTTTTGGAAAAAAAAATTATTTTTTTGTTAAAAATCCGTATCAGCAAAATTAGGGTACCATACCGGAAAATACCGAAATAAAACCGGATTATACCACCTAAGAAACTGTAAAAGAGTAAATAAGCTTAGGTAACATTCAACAAAGTGCGAGATTTCAATACATAATAAACCTCATAATCATCCAAATACATTTTTAGAAACTAGTACAACCGACCAAAATTCGGCTCATTGCGGTCCAACTGCAAATACCGCCCGACAGAATTTTGAAGGGTACATAGCCCTTATTGTGCAGGGCCTGGTCCGGTTTCCGGTTTTCCCGCTCCGACCGACCGGTACGGTATCCTGGTCCCTGTTTTAGGGTGCACACGTCAGCTGAGTTGGTGGAATTCAAAGGAACGAGAAGAGGACCCGTATCCGCTACGGAATAGAAGAAGGAAGCATATGCGCCAGCGGCGGTGCTATTTATGGAGTTTATTTTATTATTTAATTAGTATTAAGTTTCCTAGTTAGTTTGGGATTTGTTTGCCAATTCCTTTTAGGTTAGATTTATGATTTTGAGATCTCTATAAATAGAGGGTGTAAGATCTACGAATTTTATACCCAATACCCAAGATTTCAGATATCAATTACATTGAGTGTTTACTCGAGTTCCTTTGTGAACGTTTTGCTTAATCTCTCCTTTGAGGATTCAGGAGAATTGATTGGTCTCTTATCAACTAGAGAACGCGTCTAGTTGTGGCGAGCATCGACTATATCGATTGGCCTTATCCACGGGTTCGAGATTGTTTGGTTGGTTTAATATACCAACTGACACTTCTCACGAGTTCGGATCTGTTTGATCGATTTCTGCAACTATCCTTTATTTACGTGTTATTAAAGAAAGAAGAAAACCCCAAAAGAGTTCGACGTTGCACGATTCTAATTTTTTGTCCAAGTTTGGATGGATTCTCGAATTAGGATCATATTAAAAGCCCCATCCTTTGATTTCACAATTGGTATCAGAGCCGATCGTCGTAGAACAAGATCTAACGATCTCCGGCGAAATCGATCATGGGAAGCGGTTCAACCGACAATGCTCAATCTCTCTACTTTTGCGACAAAGAGCTGGCGTTTCTCAGACCGCCCAGGTTTGTTGGTAAAGAGTATTTTCGTTGGAAGCATATAATGAAATTATTTATGCTTTCGGTTGATCCTAAACTTTGGCTTATCATTGAGAATGGGTTGCTTAAATTAAAAGATGATAACTTGATATGGGAAAAGAATAAGAAAAGTTACAGTTAAATGCCAAAGCTATGTATATTGTATTGAGTGTTCTAGATATGGAAGATTATAATTGTGTATCTCACTGTAAATTTGCGAAAGATGTTTGGGAAAGTTTGTAGGGTTTATATAATGGAGCAGACTTATTGATAGAACGAAAGGTAGGCACGAGAGCTAGAATTATGAACAAACATTGTTCCCCAACTCACAAGGGAAGGATGGAGCGCAATAAGCGTGATAATGCTGAAGCAAGCAGGAAAGTTATTGCCTTTTCTGAAGTAAAGAAATTAGAACTCATTGATGACCTTATTAGAGTTCAAAGCTTGTATTTAAAATTTGGTGCTAGGTTTAAGAACCTAAAAGAGGAATTTGAAGATGAGATATTTGAACTGAAAAGAGAGTTAGAGGACCTGAAACAAGAAAAAATTATTTCTGATGACAAAGCTGAATCTGTTATAGTTAAAAACTCAACTCTAATTGTTGAATTAGAAAAAATAAGAAAAGAAAATGAGATTGACAAAGGTGATAATCTTGCATCTGAATTGGAAGCTCTAACAACTCAGATAGCTTGCCTAGAAGCTGAAAACTTTTCTCTGGGAAGTAAACTATTAGCTGCTGAAAGTAAATGTCTGTTACTTGAGCTGAAAATGGATATAGAGCCAATATGTCTAGACTTCGTGATGAAATCCGAAACTTCATATGCCATAAATGCAATAGACGAGGTCATACTAGTAGACATTGTTTTCTAAACAACAAGAATGTTAACTTGAGATGCTATTGTTGTCATAAAGTTAGAAATATAAGCAGAAATTGTAGGTTTTGACATGAAAATGAGTGGTTTGATAAACCATATAACTATTCTCATTCCAGTAAAAAGGTAACCAAACTTGATTGGGTACCCAAATCACAATATTGATTACTTTGCTGGAAATAGTAGATGTGAAAGCACAATTTGAATCATGGTTTTTTTTTTGTGTACGATTGCTCTCACTCAATGATGTGGAAATCATGTCTTCTCTAAGTTAGATTAAATTATTAAATTCTACTGCATATAGATTTTATAAGGATGCACAATGAGTGGACATTCTACTGTATATTTTACATGAGTTGCATTAAGATTATTATGGGTGTCTAGGACAACAAGTTCAACTGTTTACAAGTAGACACTCTTTTGTGTCCTGATTTATTCTTAAAATGCAGCTCCAGTACGCTTTTGTTGTCTTAATTGTGCATGAACCAAATAGCAGTTTTGTTATCATACTGATCAATGAAAAGCATACAGAATATTGCAGCATGATTGGAATTTTCTTGAACTCACTGAATGTATCAGATTGATATAAATTATCAAGTTCTTGGTCTTACTTGTGGTTTCGAAATTCATTTTACTTATGTGCTCATGTAAAAAATCAGTAAGTTGGTATTTGAAACTACAATATATGTGACCCAATAAAGGTCAAACTATGTTTATATGGTTGATTCTTGTAACATCCCGTTCCGGCAAAACCCATATTTAGATCGCTAGAAAGTTTGCGATTTAAAATCGAGCGTTTTAATAGTATTTCGACAAAAATCGGATTATTAATCAATCGGATAAGTATACGTATTAATTATATATATATATATATTATATAAATATAATATACAGGGTATAGTATCATGCCCAAAAATCCTCCTAATTCGAGGTCTAGATAGCGTTTTCATACTCAAGGTATGCGGTACAACGGATTTCCCCCGGGGTACCGTAGAAGGCACCATATTATATATATATATATGGTGACTACTTCGGTGCACCCACAAAAATGAGTGCGTTCAATGCACCCAATTCAAAAACTAGTCTTAAGGTGTCGGATTTTGAATTTTAATTTGTAGAATTAGTGTAATATGATGATATAACATATGATAACAACTAATTAGCGGATTACCCTAAGCTATAGACCTCCAATTTTGAGTTATATCCCTAAATCCCAAATTATAAACCCTAACCCTAACCCCAAATCTCTAAACTATAAATCCTTCAAATTAAAGTAAATCTTTAATGGTTTTTGTGCAAATTCATGTGCGTTATTGTTCATCACATCATAAGTAGGGATGGCAATGGGGCGGGTTTGGGGCGGGTTTGCCTAAACCATCCCCATCCCCATCTTCAAACACCCAAACCCATACCCGCCCCATACCCATGCGGGGGAATGTTTTGGAAACCCATCCCCATACCCGTGGGTTTCGGGTACCCATGGGTAATACCCATCCCCGTACATCCAACATTATTATACCTAAAACTTACAAGAAAAGTTTTAATTATAACCATAAATAAACCTATATATCATGAAGTCAACAAAACACGGTCATTTTCTAAATACGATTCAAAGAATATGATCCTAAAACATCCATTAATACATAATATAGACTATAATATTTTTAAATTATTATGCTCTAACTCTTGATACATTTACTAAGTAATAATTAACTAACATAATCTTGTTGACAAGGGGGAAAGTGAAAGAGTGGAAGGAGAATTGAGGGAAATGAATTAGGTTTTGTTTAAGGTGGTTACTCAATTGCATTTCTACTATTTATTTTCTCGAGTTATCATCATCATCATTGATAGATTACAATTTAATCCACATATTTTTTGATATGTGAAGAAATTCTCTTGGTGGGGCGGGTATGGGTATGGGTATGGGGCGGGGGAGGCTAAAACCATACCCGCCCCATACCCATCAAACTTTTTGCGGGTTTTACCCATACCCGCCCCATACCCGGTCAAAGCGGGGATTCCCCGCGTTGACTGGGTCGGGGGCGGTCGGGTACCCGTGGCCATGGGTTTGATTGCCATCCCTAATCATAAGTGATGATTGACATCATTTTGACATAAATCGCATGTTTAAAATAACGATTATGAAGCGAGTGCACTGAATGCACCCAAAAAAGTGAGTGCACTGAAAACGCCACTATATATATATATATAAAATAAAATAAAAGAGGCGGTCGGGGCCATATATAATTCCCCCTCCCGACCATTCTTTCCCATCCAATTCATTTTGTTCTTTCTTTTGCTATTCACGGACCGAGAGAAGCAGAGCGACCAGAGTTCAAGGGAGCAACGCGAGGGAAAAATTTCACAGCTCAATTCTTGAGCCCTAGTGATCCGAAAATCCCGAAAGTAATGCCTAATCCATCCTTATGTCGTAGTTTATCGATTTAGAGCTTTAAAACGAGTTTTTGATTCAGGAATTTATTGAATTTATGATAAGCCAAATTAGGGTTTCGGAGTATCCGGAAGCCAGATTGAGCCCAAATTTCATATACGAGCTTCCTGCAGCGAGGTAATCAATCCTCTTGTTCTAATCCATGAATTTCGGCAATTATTTAGGTCGGGGTCCAAATCGCAGAATTTAGCTCCGGCCAGGGTTTGATGTGTTTTTATCGAGAATTTGATCCGGAGCCTAGAACTAATATTGACGGGGATACTGCAGGGGATATTAGGACGGTCTTGAATTTTAATTCGGGGTTCGTTCGTGAAATTGACGTTTTAGTACGGGAGGCTAGAACCGGTGTTTGAACGACCAGAACTGGTGAGGGATTAGCACGGCATACCGGGTTTGTCGTATCACGATAATTATATTGATGCTTAGAATTGACCTAGGTGAACTAGAATGGCATGATTAAGGGTGTATGAACTTTTGTGTTATATGATGAACCATGGACTATTGTATGATATTATTGACTTGCCCTAATCGAGATGGACCTTGTTTATGTTGATGATTTCGTATATGTTGCAAATTGTGGGCTTGACTGTTGATATGCCTTATGATGGTTCAAAAAGGTGATTGGGTATGATTTTTCATTATTGTTGTATTTGGATGCATATGTGGGAAAATATATATTCCCTGGTGATATTATGACGTTTAAGGAGGATGACTTGCACGAGGGTTTATCCCGAGGAAGTGCAATTATACGACTCCTGATTTACCTATGTTGAGTCAATTGTGGCCAGGTCAAGTACATGTGCAAGTAGCGAATTATGATTAAGCAAGATGAGATATGGATCATGGATAAGGATACCAAGTAAGAGTACTTTGGTCTCATGGTCAATTACATAGTAATTAGGGCTCCCCATGCTATTACTCCGTTATGATATGTTATGTCACACCCCTGATGTGGTGTTGACCGTTGATTCATCATGAGATATGACCACATCCAGAGTGGTGTCAAGTCCGATATGACTACACCGACAGTGGTGGGTCCGATATGACCACATCCACGAGATGTTTGGTTCGTGTTCCCGGGAGAGTAAATAGCATGGGAGTAGCCAGGCGCCTATGATTAAAACATGATAAGATGCATATGCATAAGTCAAGGTGGTTGAGTCTTTTGCCTATTGGGATATGAAGATGGCTGAGGTCTGATCCTAGTGCTTTGGCTTATTTGCTAGATGTATGGTAGGGGTATGCTTTGTTATGAACTCACGATGCAAGGATTATCTCACTCAGCTATGAGATGACCCTCTTTATCCGTTTTCTCTGCTTATGCCATGTGTAAGCAGATCATCATCAGCAACAGCAGTAGATAGGTGAATAGGTGGGAGCTGAGCAAGAGTTGAAGGCAAGATGAGGAATGGTCTTCAACTATTCTGTGCTTGGACTACTACTCGGGATTTTGGCTAGTGATCCACACCTTTTTTTAAAAATGTTTTGAGAATGTTTTTCATGTGCATACTAGCTTCTGAGGTAGTGTGAGATACCCACAGGTGTGGAAAGTTGATGATATGTGTATATGTTGTGTAACTGTGTAAGTTGTGACGATTATGGTATGTATAAGTAGGGTATGCAGTTGTGGAGTATGAAAAGTGTGACTATGGCTAAGAAAAGCCAATGCATATGGTTGTGAGTATATATGTTTTTGATGAATTATTTTGCAGGATAAGGTGCAAGAACTGTTAGCCCATTATGCGAGTAATTCATGTCGAAATTTTATTTGGGTAAATTTTGACAATTAATGTAACACCCGAGATTAATTCCGCTACAATTGTATGAACAATATGATTAGGCAAAACGTATAGGGTAGGGTGTTACAGTTTGGTATCAGAGCCCGGTTCCCTCTTTTTGCTGTTATGGCGTACTATACCCTATGGGAGGTTAAACACTCCTAAGGAGGGGAGTACCCCATAATGACTTAAACTGGGAATTGAGTTTGACATGATTATGTGTATTGGTATGATGGATGAAATTATCTGTATCATGGTTTTCAAAATTGAGTTTTGAACTTCTATGTTTTCAAGTAATTATTTTGGGAAAATTTTGTTTTAACCAAGTGAGAGAGTGGGTGAAGAATGAATTTTGTGTGGATCAATCTTAGGCCAATATTTCCTTGTAGCTCGCACGGAAGTTGTGAAAATGTTCCTACTGACCAGTCAAGAGGAGTGGGGGCGGTTGATGCAAGACCGCCAGTATTAGATTATGCAAAGATGAAGAGTTTGGGTGGTAGGGACTTCACGGGAGATGTGAGCCCAGATGCTGTAGTAGAGTGGTTGAGAGAGATGGAAGATGTGTTTGAGTATCTTTATGCAACCCTAGAGGAAAAAGTGCAATATGTTGTTTTTCTCCTAAAGGGGTACGCGAGGAGCTGGTGGTCCTCAGTCTCTAGAGTTAATGGTGAACGAGTTCAGTTCACCTGGGAGGAGTTCCTGAAGGCCTTTAAGACAGAGTTTCTTCCCGAAGCTTTTATCAGGGCAAAGAATAATGAATTCGCCAACCTTAAGCAAGAGAACATGACAGTTACTGAGTACACCATCAAGTTTGTTCAACTACTCTACTTTGAAGATGGGTTGGCGGATACTGAGCATAAGAAGAAGATGGAATACTTACATGGTCTACGCCTAGGGTTGAAAGAAAAGATTCACATGGTTGATGAAGAGAGTATGGCCACTATCAAGGAGGCAGCACTTAAGTATGAAGCCTATGAAGTTGAGGGTAGAGAGGAACACAAGGCCAAAGAAGAGGAGAAGAAGAGGAAGTTTGGAGTGAGTTATTCTGGACCTCGTTACCCATCCAAGAGAGGTCCCAGCGGTTTTGGGAGAACACCGAGTCAATCTATGTCAGGAACATCATACAAGGCACCAGTTTCCTCAGCCACACCGGCTCCAGTTTGTCAAGTTTGTCAGAAGAGACACTTTGGAGAGTGTTGGAGGTTTTCTGGAGTATGCTTTCAATGCGGCCAGCGGGGTCACATCATGAGGAACTGTCCTTATAGGGGAGGAGGAAGACCTACTCAGTCTGAACCTTCAGTGCACTTTAGTAGAGCCCCAGCCAGCAGTGGTTACCAGGGAGACCGTAGTGGATTTCAGAGTGGTCGTAGTGGTTCACAGGGTGGTAGAGGTGGTGGTCGGAATCAACTATCAGGAAGTGGTACGTAGGGTACCAGAGCACAGGGAGCACCGAGGGTTTATGCAATGACTCGAGGTGAGGCAGAAGTGGCACCAGAAGTTGTGACTGGTATGCTTACTATTCTTGGCAAGCAATTATATGCTTTGATCGATACTGATTCCTCACACTCATTCATATCATATACATTTTCACATATGCTACACTTAGTTCCAGATAAGCTAGGTTATACCTTATGTGTCAAAACACATGTGGGAGATACCTTGAAGGTAGACTCAGTTATTAGAAGTTCCTTCATTTGTGTGGAAGGAGCTTTCCTAGCAGCAGATTTAATTATGCTACCTTTTGATGAATTTGATGTCATCCTTGGAATGGACTTTCTGGCAATACATGGAGCTGTTGTGGATTGTCAAAAGAAAGAAGTGTTATTCAACACACCAGATAAAGGTCCTGTTGTATTCTGAGGCATTAAGAAAAAGGAGACTCATGGTTTTCTTTCTGCCTTGGAAGCTTTTCGATTAGTGAAGGAAGATTGTGAAGCCTTTCTTGCTCAAGTTACTGTTGTAAATGATAATAAGGTTGAGGATGTAGAGGTGGTAAGGGAGTTTCCTGATGTATTCCCCAAAGAACTTCCCGGCCTTCCACCAGAAAGGGAAGTAAGTTTGATATTGAATTGGTACCTGGCACAACACCATTTCAATGACACCATATAGAATGGCACCAATTGATCTGAAGGAGCTTAAAGAACAATTGCAAAAATTGCTAGACAAGGGATTTATTCGACCTAGCATCTCACCTTGGGGTGCACCGGTTTTGTTTGTCAAGAAGAAAGATGGATCCATGAGAATGTGCATTGACTACCGGAGGTTGAATAAGGCGACAGTGAAGAATCGTTATCCCCTTCCAAGAATAGATGATTTGTTTGATCAATTTCAGGGTGCATCTGTCTTTTCTAAGATTGATTTGAGGTCTGGATACCATCAACTGAAAGTGGCAGATGGAGCGACCTCAAAGACAGCTTTTAGAACAAGATATCGGCATTATGAGTTCTAGGTAATGCCTTTTGGACTCACTAATGCACAAGCGGTATTTATGGCTCTTCTGAACAGAGTTTTCCATGAATATCTTGATAAGTTTGTGATTGTGTTCATAGATGATATTCTCATCTATTCTAAAAGCGAGGAGGAGCACAAAACTCACCTTAGAATTGTGTTGCAAATTCTAAGGGAGAAACAATTATATGAAAAATTCTCAAAATGTGAGTTTTGGCTGAAGGAGGTAATATTTCTTGGACATGTAATTTCTAGAAGAGGTGTCGAGGTGGATCCGAAAAAGGTGGAAGCAGTGGTGAGTTGGGCTCCACCAAAAGATGTGTCTGAGTTGAGAAGTTTTCTTGGCATGGCTGGTTATTATCGGTGGTTTGTCGAAGGATTTTCCAAAATTGCTGCACCATTGACTAAACTTTTGAGGAAGAATACCAAGTATATTTGGGATGAATCATGTCAAAAGAGTTTTGATGAACTGAAGAAGAAATTGACCACAGCACCAGAACTGGCTTTACCTTCAAACCATGGATAGTTCGTGGTGTATAGTGATGCCTCGTATCAAGGATTGGGTTGTGTGTTAATGCAAGATGGAAGAGTTATCGCATATGCCTCTAGGCAACTGCGTCCTCATGAAGTAAATTATCCCACTCATGAATTAGAATTGGCAGCGGTGGTATTTGCTCTCAAGATTTGGCGACATTAGTTGTATGGTGAGACTTTTAAAATCCTAACTGATCACAAAAGCTTGAAGTATATTATGGATTAGAAGGATTTAAATAGTCGCCAGAGGAGATGGATAGAGTTGCTCTCATTGATTACCATCCAGGTAAAGCTAATGTAGTTGTTGATGCTCTGAGCAGAAAAGGCAAGAAGAATATAACGAATCTAGTTGATTTGAGGGCAATGAATGTTGATTTGGAAGTGGATGGTGTAACAGGGTTACTAGCTCGGTTGAACATTCGACCTTTGTTGCACGACAAAATTCGTGAGAAGCAGAAGGAGGACCCAGAGTTGGCAAAAATCATTCAAGATATTGAGGAAGGAAAAGAAAGCCCATTTTAAATGGTAGATGGCATGTTGAAGATGAATGAAAGAGCATGTGTTCCTAATGTTGATAACTTGAGGAAAGAGATCCTAGATGAAGCTCATTCTTCTGCTTATGCTATGCACCCAGGAGCAACTAAAATGTATCACACAATCAAACCATATTTTTGGTGGCATGGGATGAAAAAGGAAGCTGCTGAACATGTTTTCACATGTCTGGTATGTCAGAAAGTTAAGGCAGAACATCAAGCTCCTGTGGGAAAACTGCAACCCCTTCCAATTTCAGAATGGAAGTGGGAAAGAATCACAATGGATTTTATATATGGTCTCCCATCATCAAGGTAAAAAGATGGAGTATGGGTTATTGTGGATCGATTGACCAAATCGGCTCACTTTTTACCCATTAGATGGAAACCATCACTGGAGACTTTGTCTCAACTATATATTAAGGAGATCGTCAGATTGCATGGTGTGCCAATTTCTATTATCTCTGATTGAGACCCAAGCTTCACATCTCGGTTTTGGCAAAGTTTACATGATGCTTTGGGAACTAAATTGCATTTTACATCAGCTTATCATCCTCAAACTAATGGACAGTGCAACACCCTACTACTTCTTCTCGTACTATTGGAACCATCATCACATTATATACTCATTAAACCTTAGGTTTTAACTTCACATTAAGACTTGGACATAACACTAGCATACGGGTTACCTCACTTGCTCAGGAAATTCAAGCTAGTTTTCCCAAAGCATCCAAAAGCATAACACCGAACGATGCAAAGTTTGAGTTTAAAACAAAGTACAAACCCAACATATTAGTTTAATATTAAGTGGGTACACAAACTTAAAAGCATTAAAACATTTAGTTCGACTTCAAAAGTGAAAACATGTGGAGTGTTCAGTTCCGCCGCACACCTTTCAGCCATCCGGCTGACTTCACTGGTTCGACCGAGGCTTCTGTTGTTGCTTTGGCTCTGAAATGGAAAAATATTGGCGGGGGTGAGACGCCACTCAATGAGTAATCAATAACCCAATATATACTCCAGTTGCGCACGGTGATCAGGTACACCAAGGGCTTAAGTTCACTTAAAGAATCTAGTAGCTTAAATGGTACTTTACCCAACTATGTGTGCAAGGTTCATTAACCAATTTAAGCGATTCTCGTATCATACACACTTACCCTTGAGTTACTCATATCAAACCCTATTCCAGGTAAAAACATTTACTAACACATCATTTTGGTATCACCATGTAATCAACAACATATGGAGGCATGTAACAACTACACAATCTCATGATAAATCATTGCATGAACACATCCCAGTAAAGCCTTCACATGAATACGCCAATCTCATGAACAATCTGTTAAACACACCGTAGGAACATCACTTAGCCACATCACAGCAAATCCTTGTACCAAAGCTCAAACACAAGCATAGTTAGCTAGATTATGTACATTTTACTTTTAATGCCAAGTTATGCACTCCCCGGGATCTCGTGAACTCGTAAACTCGTGATCTCGTAAGCACAAAATGCCAAATCTCATAAACTCGTGGGCACAAAGTGCCATATCTCATGAACTTGTAAACTCATGGGCACGAAGTGCCATATCCCGTGAACTCGTAGCCATGCCTGGCTATTCTCCTTATAGGGAGTTCTCGTATAACACTTTTCTTCTCTTTTTCTTTTCATAAGTGCTTAACAAGGCGCCATTTTGTTTTTATTAGGTGATCACATAGTTCATGGGTTAGACAATACTCATGTAAAGCATCTCGTAATAATCCCGTAGGCACACATATCATATCATATACTCATTGATGCTATACACAATCATCTCAATTGCACATCAATACATTCTTCACATAGCTCATTCATCAATGCACGTTGAAAATAGCAAACTCATACACATCCACGTTATCAATTCTCATCATATAAGCTTTTACTCATTCATAGCTCATTTATCTATCTATCACAAGTCCACGTATCCGGGCCGCTTCATGACCCGAATACCATGCCCATACTAAAATATATATTAGGTTAAGAATTACTCACAACTCGATTACTCTGCTACACCCTTTTGCCTTGATGATTCTCCGACATGCTCCTTTTTTTATGGTTAAATCAAATCGCATTAAGAACCGACACCAATAGCAAAGTGCTATGGAGCCCTCAAAAAACTTTCAATCCTGTACATCATAACCTCACAGAGATACTCAACAAAACGAAAACAAGCCTAACTTGCTAACTTTCTACCCCAAGTCCCCTCGCTTCAAAACAATCAACTAAGCATTGGTTCAACAGACAACGACTCCAAAGAATTCTCCTTGCATCAACCAGCAGCTGAGAAGGACTCCTTGCCGCAATAGAGCCATATAACCTCGCACATCTCTCCCGCCAAACAAGGCTGATAAGAACACTCCAGCTCATTCTATTCAAAGAATGAACCGGAGAATCACTCGCCCACTTCGTGACACACCACTCCAACACAGCATTCCAGCTTCCAAACACAGGAGGTGAATCCTCTTTCAAAACTTTGCAACTCAGAAACTGATAATAAGAACAGTCCATGAACAAGTGATCACGATTTTCCATTCCTCCAGGACATAACAGAAAATGCCCAGAAAGCGGCTTACCCCTCGCAATCAGCTTATTCTGTAGCTTCAGTCTATCATTAATCACCAACCATAAAATAAATCCATGCCTAGGGATGATATGTTTATCCCAAACAACCTTAAACCATCTACCTCAGCTTCCTTCTGCCTCAACGACTCCCACACCCTCGAAACAGAGTAAGAATGCATAGCCAGTCCACCCCACTGCAATTCAGAGCCAACCACAGAAATGAATGGCCTTACCACATCCCTACATTTGAGTAAACGCTTCCAGACCCAGGTCCCTGCTGCTGTGTCTTTCAGATCCCATACAGATGCCTGCTTCACCCTATAGCGTGTAACCCAGGCAACCCATAGAGAGCCCTCTGCTGCCAGAATCGCCCAAAGATGCTTACTGACACAGGCTTTGTTCCAAACTGAGAAGTTCTTTATACCCAAACCCCCTTCCTTTTTTGGCCTAGCAATGGATTGCCAGGGAACTACTGCTCTCTTTCTCAGCGAAGTATCATTAATATCCCATAGGAACCTGCTACACATAGACTCTACTTCTTTTATCACATACTTTGGCAACAAAAAGATCCCCATCCAGAATTGCAGAACACTTGTAAGCACCGAAGTAATCAACTGCAACCTTCCTGCAAAACTAAGAAATTTTGCTCTCCATCTATTTATTTTCCCTGTAATCTTATCAATCAACACCCTGCACTCAGCCTTTGTAAGCTTCCCAGTAATCAATGGCACCCCAAGATATCGAA